TCCGGCCAGTCACCGGCCGGTCTAAAAGTATTTCCAGACCGGTAAAAACCGGCGAGTTCATCAAGTTTTTTCAAGTAATAACATTGATATTAGGGACAAAATTTTGTTCTGAATACCTACAGATTTTACGCATGTCTTTTCTGTAATGCTACATATATATGCTATATATATATACTAGAATTCTAATACGAAAAAACCAACCAATATTTTCAAGATTGAGTTTCTTCTGCATGAGATAAGGGTCCATCCCACAAAAGTCGATATTTAATTTCCATTTCTTTTGTTATTTCGTTCACATTTACGCGAGAAAATGTATATATACAATGTATACATACATTTTCTCGTGCATACTTCTATGTATACTATACATAGAAGTAATAAAGTCAAATGAATGGTAAGATCAAAAATCATATTATTACATATTCAACTCACAAACTATATGAAACACATATGTACAAAATAAGTGATATTATTTCGATATTGGACATATCTTGTTCAAGTAAGCTTCTTTTAATACAACAAGTGACTCTACACATTCCGGATCCAGTTGAGATCTTTGTTCTGTAACAACTTGTCCAGCCACCGAGAAATGTCGTTCAGATTCAACTTTGTGCAACCGGTAAAAACCGGTGAAAACCGGCCGGTCCAACTCACTCAACCGGTCCGGTACGGCACCGGTCCGGTACGCCCGGACCGGACCGGTTACAACTCTGAGGTAAACCATCGACATGCAATAACAGAGAGACAAAATTTGTTCTTCCTAGACCACGTAGAACATTTCGATATCGTGTTCCGTTTGTAATGTCATCAGAAAATTCTTTTTGGTTTTGACGAAACCAAAGGATTTCGTTTTTGTTACGTTGAACCAAAATTTCCAGTAATTCACTGACATTTCCATTGTAAATTTTGATATTATCGTTGTTGTCAGACATGTTAACCTTTATGCAATCAGTGTTAGTACAAGAACCTAGAAAGAAAAAATATAAAAAAATTCGAGAGTGGGGAACAGGCTCATGAAAGAGTCAGTTTTGTTGCAGATGCGAGAGAATGGTTGATTAATCCTAAAGAGAAAACATACGCCAGAAAAAGTTTTCCTAAACAGGATGGAGATTTTTTTATCAACCGCTCAGTAGCCATGAACAAAAGTGCAGTGTGCCTACTCTCTATATGAATAGATGAAATAAGCTGTGACTGATGGAAGAAAGTTATTCTACGAAAAATGAGTTGAAACAAGTAGAAACTTTGTGATCAGCTCAAACAATTATAAAATTAAGTAAATAATATCAATCTTTTTCTCAGGATTAGAGCTGAAAAGGACTTGTAAGCAAAGCCCACAGAACAGAGTAATTACTGTTAATTGAGGCTTTTACTTCAATAAAACTATTCACTCATCTACTACCTCACTATAACATGATGAACATTTAACATGTTGTGTGAACTGATTTGAACAATCTAATGAAGCAAATAGTTTATCAAATGTAGAGGGAAGATTGTGGGGTTGAGGAAGAATAGATGATATAAATTTGAGGAGATCAGTGGCTGTTGATTTAGAGATTCTCCCTCGCCGAATTATTGTTAGAAGGGATCGATTAACATCTGCTATCGTCTGTTTGGTGAAACGATGCAATGGAGGGGAAGAATGTTGTAATTCAGACGCATCATCATCATTTGAGAGGATAGGTTCGAAGTCCATTGATTTGAAATCGTTGTCATCATTATCATCTAGTGAATGAGAGAAACAACACAGCATAATTATAAAACTATGTGCTAGAAGTGTAGATTTTTCTTTGATAGTACAGGAAAAAGTTTCGAACAACAAACGAAAAACCTAAATGAAAAGCAATTGCAAGTCTCCTTATATGACGAAGACGGAAATAGAAAAAATTACGGCACGAAGTATTGCATGTTGCAGCAAAAAGCGCGTTTAGTCAATTGCTTTTTTTATTTTGAATGACAAAGCGAGCCAGTCAAAGAAGTATAACAACATTTCACTGTTTTTTTTTGAAAATTGCACTTTGCTCATGGCTGGAAAAAATATATTTATATAAAAATCGCTTAGTTCGAATCATTTGAATTAACAGCAAGTTTGTTTCAATTCAATTCATTTTTTAGCTCTCAAAGAGTTCGGTTCTCTTGAATCGAAGCACATTTTCACTCAGTTTTACTCATTTTTCTTCCAAGTTACATCGCACAAAGCACCGAGTTTGAGGTGAAAATCAACTCAGTTCACTTCAGAAAATTTTTGAGATAAATTGTCTTTCGATTCAAATGAATCGAATTGAACAAAAATAACTTTTAAACTGTTTTGCCTAGCTTCGGTAGAAAAAAAATCGCAAAACTGCTTTCAGTTCTGTACATTGTTTTACCTGCATATACTTTACTTAGAATATTCGTAAGACTTTTCCAAGTCATGCGACTGAAAACTTGTACGCATCATTCTCTAGCACTTATAAGTTTTTTACGAACACCACATGGCTTAGGAAAGAAGCGGGTAATGAACGCGCAAAGATAAATAAAATGTACATACTCTGTTTTATTTTCTTTGTATAATGCACTGGAACCAGAGCTAGTCAAACCAATTCAAAAGTTGATCATCTCGATTTAACTCATATTTGAACTGATTTGAAGTGGACTGAGATTCAAATAAATTGAAATGAATTGAAGTTCAATTCATTTTTATCTTTCACTTACCATTAGTGTGAGAATTATCTAGATCATCAGTTGAAAAATTTGATAATACATCAGACAATTGGTCTATTTCAAACTCATCTTCTTGTATAACAGTGTCACTATAAATTCTCTGATTTTCTTCAATATTTGGAACAGAAAGCGGTGTTTCCCGCGTTGTAGAAAGGCTAAGTGGCTGAGATTGTAAATTTACTTTTGTCTGGACTGCCGATTCTCGTTTTGAGCGACGTTGTAGTTTCTTTTTTTCTTGATTCTCCGTTAGCATACGATTTTCGGCAGCACCCATGTTCGTACTCCACAGAAAGTTCATCTAAAAAATATCAAGAGGAAAAAGTCAAGTGCTTAGATAAGCAGTCTGTATGTGAACAGTCCGAAAGACGAGAGTTGGTGTATCCCTCCTCATAAAGCCTAAGAAGCAACGTAAATAGTGAACCGCATAGATGCGGACATGTAAACTAAAAAATGAATCAACGTTTGCTTCATACACGCAGACAGCTCGAACTTTTTAAATCAAGCACAGCAGAAGGCATGAGGTTTCGCTTAATTGTGTCGGTAACCTATTTTGAACAACCTTGATTAATTTTTCTTACCAGTGTTTCTTTGTTTCTGATAGGAATTTTATACACTTTTTTTTTAAGCAACGATAAAAAAGTTTTTCACAAAGTGAACTCCGGTAAAAACTACCAAAAACAAAGTAATAACAGAGAGAATGTCAAAATTCAGAAGGTGCGTTCCCGGTGTTCCCGCATGTGTAACTTATCATTAGCATCACCGCTCGTGGAGCGTATTGAAGAGAGAATGAATACGCAAGCCTCGCACACAGTGTTTTACTAGAGGCTTTAAGGGGGGCTTGTTAGCATTTTACCCGGTGGACCCTGCTGGTTTGCTTTCGATAGGAAGGCGAGTGCGGCCGACATAAAACTTTCACAAACGAATAAAAGTAGGGAGTTTTTAATGAAAACTCCTTTATTATGTCTAGATATGTTCTATGTTCAGATAATTTGCCGTTATTTGTTCAGGCATGACAGAGATAACCAAGCAAAAGAATTGAATATTTTATATAAACGAACGTCACACATGGGTGATCTAATAACTGATTGGTATAGACTAACTGCATATGATGACCAGTTATCAGGTACACGATAAGTAATGACTGCTAACTGTATGGCCAGCGATAGATGAGAACACCTATTCTACTTCACAGTCATACCTTCAGAATAATTTGTATCAACCTATTCACTATAAATGATACGTACGAACGACCCGTGTGAAAGATCAAACTCAATTCAAGCCATCATTTGTGTTAAGGGGCAGATTAACTGTTCGATGGATTCTCTCTGTTATTTTTCGGCATTTAGACGTTTCGCCGCTACTTTTCATTCCGAACATCCAATGTCGCAGTACGTTCCGAACATCCGTTTTTCTTAAAAAAAATCATCACTTTTAAGATAAAAATATCGGATGTTCGTAATAAGAAAAATACGGGTGTTCGGAACGATCATCGAAAACAAACGGATGTTCGTAAAAACTTTTAACGGCTGTTCGGAATGGCAAAGACACGCACATTTCTATTTGAGGAACTGAATAATTTTAACGGATGTTCGTAAAAGAAACTACCGGGTGTTTGGAATGAAAATATAGGGATGTTCGGAACAGCAGTAGATGGATGTTCGTAAAACTTTTACACGGGAGTTCGGAATAGAAAAAGAGGAATGTTCGTAGCGGAGATCTGCTTGTTTTATTAGTGCAGCACTTTAGTTCTAGTTAACTGATATTCGGAACGCTCTTCCTTTCACAGCACAGTACACAGTATGTCAGACACATACTTAAAGATTTGAAAGTGTGTACTGAATCACAAACTTCTATTCACTCTTATTCGAGGGTGGTTCAGCAAGGACTACTTCACTATCAAAACTTTCTGGCCTATCTACTTGTTTTGTCTTTTGTGAAACACGACTGTTAATGAGTGCTGAAGTCTATAGCGAGACAGTCAGACATTTCGTGTCTGTCATGTCTGTGATAGAGTCAAAAGAACGTTCGGTATCCTCTAATGACTTCGTCAGGCTCTGTACGGCTAACTTATATGTAAGATCTGTACGATGGAACTGTTTCGCCCAAAAAGATGACAGAAATAAAATCGTTCGAGAAATGCGCTTTTCCCATTGAGTATGGCGGAGTGGGGGTTCTAGTTCAGTTCTTTTGAACGGGAACTGGTAACCAGTTCACGTTCAACAGGAACTGAACTGGTGACCGGTTCTTTCGACCAGAACTTAAGGACTATAGGAACTGGAACTGCCCCGCCCCTACTTCATAGACAGGTTTTTGGCCATTTCACAGGAATAATGCATTCGCACGAGAATTACGCACCTACGTCCTCTGGATCCGGACCGTTTTCCCGTCCGCAAAGTTGTTTTTTGTAAATTTTACTCTCATCTCTCCAGTCCAATGCTACTGAAATCGGGTTACCCCATTGCATCTGTGTCCAAAGGTACCGAGACAATGAGCATTAGATAGCTTGCCCAAGACTATCACACGACCGCCGTTGCCGGGATTCGAACTTCGTATGTTTGAAGTACGTTGTCTGCCTGCTAGCCGACTGAGTCACGCTGCTCCACAAAGTTTTCTGCTCTTTTGCACTGGAATGGTGTCAGGGCATGAGTAGGAACATTTCCTGACACTTAGTTTCGCGACAGCTCTCGGTCAGGTTTTTGAATAATACATTTACACGAGGATTATGCATAAATCTGAAGCTTATCAGCTGGCTTCCTAAATATATTTTGCCCCCTTCACGAGAATTCTGTTGTTGATATTGATCCTAATTCCAAAAATGCTATTTCTGTTGCATAAAAGCTTCAACTTTCTTATAGTATAATATTAGGTAAAAGTGCCCAAAAAACCGTGTTCGTCGCTGTTTTTTGAGTATTTTAGCCTCAAAACAATGCAATACTCCGTTTTGAACGGCTCGTTTTACATAGTTCAGATACAAAACACAATTTTGCACACGACTGACGAGGGAACCGCCCCAGGTGTCCAACTCCAATTTCCTTCATTCATACCTCGTTTTATAGAGCACATCCAGCTGGTAAAAAGCCTGAAAGGATTTCGGCTGACGGCTCTTGAAGACCCAGTTTTCTGGAAAACCAGTTTTTCAGAAATTCTAAAAGATAACGGAAAGCTTTTCTTAATGAGTTATGAGTGTTGCCCGCAAATTTCTGATTAAAATGAGACATCTCCCTGTTCTACATGACCTTTCTTTGCAAAGTTATACAATTTACAAGAGAAGCCATAAATTAATTTCTTCTTAGAAATAAGCTGTCAGCCGAAACCCTTTCAGGGTTTTTACCAGCTCGATCTGCTCTATAAAACGAGGTATGAATGAAGGAAATCGGAGTTGGGCGCCTGGGGGGGTTCCCTCGTGAGTGTGTATTCGACTTTCCAATGGGCACGAATGCTGCTGCAGAAGTCATGTAACAGGTGACTTGCACGAAAAACCTATCTAGTTTAATCTATATTTATTAATTAACAACCTGTCTTCTTACCCGTTGGCTGAAATAGAGTAAATTTCGATATGAAGCAGTTACACTCTTCACAAAATTTACTAGAAAACTGAAATGTAGGTGCTGTGGTATGAATATGTGACTAGTAGTAGAAACAGTGACAAACCGAGAACTGCTTATCATAAACAAATGTCATTCTCTGAAGAAGTATTATCGGGTGACTCACTCTCACCTCTTGCGCTCCACTCACCGGCTCTCAATGATTGGCTAAAAAATACCTGAAAGAGTAAAAAGAAATGTGCGTGAAGCTCAGAATATTTCTCTGCTTCTTAGTCAATGTATGAAAACACGTTGAATAACATATTAAAATGTACTCTGTTTCGTGCTTACATGAAGAGGACGTTCGCGATCTTATGCAGTTTTCTATGTTTCATATTGATTGTCCAATATTCTCAGACACCAATTTCTATTAAAGCGTTTCAACAGAAACTTGTTCACACGATTACGATACCTTTAAAGAACGTAGTTTACTTTCTTCTTAATGATACACAAGTAAACCACTCCGTGACTTTGAAATTAGATATAAAAGGTCAGTCTGGAAGCTTTCCAAAACAATTTGCTGTTTCGCTTGCTCTATACACTCAACAACTCCGACATATTATTTTTATTCGCCTATAATAGCTGCTGCTTGGATGAGACTTGGATATCATGTAATCGTCGTGTTTGTCGGTGATTTTCAGTCGCAGCAGGAACCAGTTAACCACAATAAAACTATAACTGGTCTGGCGCAACGAATTCACTTAACTCGAACGTATTTATTGAAGACGAGTTCACGTGGTTGATTTTCAGTGTCATTCTGCTTATACAATAAAAATAAGCCAGATCGTCCGAGTATTCACAGGCTTTTTGCCAGAACATGTTGTCAAAGACACAGACTATATCTCGACGACAGGTAGTGATTTACTACCCATGAATATTTCTCAGTATCGATTAGCAAATGGATCAGATGGTTTTATATTTAATGCATTTTGCTGTGGTGATTTCAGCAGACGGTTAAAATGGTACAGAATGTATCCAATGTCACATATTTATCTGAGAAAGGAAATCTGGCGAGAGTTGATTTTCACCTCTATTCAACGAGCAGAATTATTATCTATAGAGCGAAATCGAACATACTCATGCACGCCAACAATTCAAATAAGTACGAAACGCAACTGTTATCACATTATAATAATCTCGCTAATCTGTTAAGTGCTCGTTTTCTAGATTTTGAAGGCATTAGTGTGTACATGAGACATGAATTTCGAGCATTATATGATCAACGGATGAGCAAAGGCGATTCAGCATGGTATATGGATCAGTTCATGGTCAGTATGCTCTTAGCGGATTACAGATTGAAACATCCTGAGTTGAAAATAAACGAGCGTAGTATAATGACACGGCTAGATCGTATTTTTCCTCAGTCACATTGGAATCGTGAAACGTTCACCGAGTTTGGCGATGCACATTTATTTGGTAATGAAAATTTTTCCCTGACATATGGAGAATTTTCAACAAAGTTTTACGGTATCTTTTTAACGCCAGCACGGTTGAATGGATCAATGACTACTATCATCAATTGGTATTACACTCCAAGGAAGTCAAAATCAGTTGACCGTTGGAAGCAACCAACAAGCTTGTGACTTTCCTCTTATTTATATGTGAAGCAGAAAAGATTGTAGAAATGGGGAAAAACGTGAAATCACCATGGACTAAAGATGCTAGAATCAAATGCACCGTACTAGAAATA